GTACCCACCTGCAATCAAGTCAGTGAGTTCCCACCTGCAATCAAGTCAGTGAGTACCCACCTGCAATCAACTCAGTGAGTACCCACCTGCAATCAAGTCAGTGAGTACCCACCTGCAATCAACTCAGTGAGTACCCACCTGCAATCAAGTCAGTGAGTACCCACCTGCAATCAAGTCAGTGAGTACCCACCTGCAATCAACTCAGTGAGTACCCACCTGCAATCAAGTCAGTGAGTACCCACCTGCAATCAACTCAGTGAGTACCCACCTGCAATCAACTCAGTGAGTACCCACCTGCAATCAACTCAGTGAGTACCCACCTGCAATCAACTCAGTGAGTACCCACCTGCAATCAACTCAGTGAGTACCCACCTGCAATCAAGTCAGTGAGTACCCACCTGCAATCAAGTCAGTGAGTACCCACCTGCAATCAACTCAGTGAGTACCCACCTGCAATCAAGTCAGTGAGTACCCACCTGCAATCAAGTCAGTGAGTACCCACCTGCAATCAAGTCAGTGAGTACCCACCTGCAATCAAGTCAGTGAGTACCCACCTGCAATCAACTCAGTGAGTACCCACCTGCAATCAACTCAGTGAGTACCCACCTGCAATCAACTCAGTGAGTACCCACCTGCAATCAACTCAGTGAGTACCCACCTGCAATCAAGTCAGTGAGTACCCACCTGCAATCAACTCAGTGAGTACCCACCTGCAAGCAAGTCAGTGAGTACCCACCTGCAATCAACTCAGTGAGTACCCACCTGCAATCAACTCAGTGAGTACCCACCTGCAATCAAGTCAGTGAGTACCCACCTGCAATCAAGTCAGTGAGTACCCACCTGCAATCAAGTCAGTGAGTACCCACCTGCAATCAACTCAGTGAGTACCCACCTGCAATCAACTCAGTGAGTACCCACCTGCAATCAAGTCAGTGAGTACCCACCTGCAATCAAGTCAGTGAGTTCCCACCTGCAATCAAGTCAGTGAGTACCCACCTGCAATCAACTCAGTGAGTACCCACCTGCAATCAAGTCAGTGAGTACCCACCTGCAATCAACTCAGTGAGTACCCACCTGCAATCAAGTCAGTGAGTACCCACCTGCAATCAACTCAGTGAGTACCCACCTGCAATCAAGTCAGTGAGTACCCACCTGCAATCAACTCAGTGAGTACCCACCTGCAATCAAGTCAGTGAGTACCCACCTGCAATCAAGTCAGTGAGTACCCACCTGCAATCAAGTCAGTGAGTACCCACCTGCAATCAACTCAGTGAGTATCCACCTGCAATCAAGTCAGTGAGTACCCACCTGCAATCAAGTCAGTGAGTACCCACCTGCAATCAACTCAGTGAGTACCCACCTGCAATCAAGTCAGTGAGTACCCACCTGCAATCAACTCAGTGAGTACCCACCTGCAATCAAGTCAGTGAGTACCCAGCTGCAATCAACTCAGTGAGTACCCACCTGCAATCAAGTCAGTGAGTACCCACCTGCAATCAACTCAGTGAGTACTCACCTGCAATCAACTCAGTGAGTACCCACCTGCAATCAAGTCAGTGAGTACCCACCTGCAATCAAGTCAGTGAGTACCCACCTGCAATCAACTCAGTGAGTACCCACCTGCAATCAACTCAGTGAGTACCCACCTGCAATCAACTCAGTGAGTACCCACCTGCAATCAACTCAGTGAGTACTCACCTGCAATCAAGTCAGTGAGTACCCACCTGCAATCAAGTCAGTGAGTACCCACCTGCAAGCAAGTCAGTGAGTACCCACCTGCAATCAACTCAGTGAGTACCCACCTGCAATCAAGTCAGTGAGTACCCACCTGCAATCAAGTCAGTGAGTACCCACCTGCAATCAACTCAGTGAGTACCCACCTGCAATCAACTCAGTGAGCACCCACCTGCAATCAACTCAGTGAGTACCCACCTGCAATCAAGTCAGTGAGTACCCACCTGCAATCAACTCAGTGAGTACCCACCTGCAATCAAGTCAGTGAGTACCCACCTGCAATCAACTCAGTGAGTACCCACCTGCAATCAAGTCAGTGAGTACCCACCTGCAATCAAGTCAGTGAGTACCCACCTGCAATCAAGTCAGTGAGTACCCACCTGCAATCAACTCAGTGAGTATCCACCTGCAATCAAGTCAGTGAGTACCCACCTGCAATCAAGTCAGTGAGTACCCACCTGCAATCAACTCAGTGAGTACCCACCTGCAATCAAGTCAGTGAGTACCCACCTGCAATCAACTCAGTGAGTACCCACCTGCAATCAAGTCAGTGAGTACCCAGCTGCAATCAACTCAGTGAGTACCCACCTGCAATCAAGTCAGTGAGTACCCACCTGCAATCAACTCAGTGAGTACTCACCTGCAATCAACTCAGTGAGTACCCACCTGCAATCAAGTCAGTGAGTACCCACCTGCAATCAAGTCAGTGAGTACCCACCTGCAATCAACTCAGTGAGTACCCACCTGCAATCAACTCAGTGAGTACCCACCTGCAATCAACTCAGTGAGTACCCACCTGCAATCAACTCAGTGAGTACTCACCTGCAATCAAGTCAGTGAGTACCCACCTGCAATCAAGTCAGTGAGTACCCACCTGCAAGCAAGTCAGTGAGTACCCACCTGCAATCAACTCAGTGAGTACCCACCTGCAATCAAGTCAGTGAGTACCCACCTGCAATCAAGTCAGTGAGTACCCACCTGCAATCAACTCAGTGAGTACCCACCTGCAATCAACTCAGTGAGCACCCACCTGCAATCAACTCAGTGAGTACCCACCTGCAATCAAGTCAGTGAGTACCCACCTGCAATCAACTCAGTGAGTACCCACCTGCAATCAACTCAGTGAGTACCCACCTGCAATCAACTCAGTGAGTACCCACCTGCAATCAACTCAGTGAGTACCCACCTGCAATCAAGTCAGTGAGTACCCACCTGCAATCAACTCAGTGAGTACCCACCTGCAATCAACTCAGTGAGTACTCACCTGCAATCAAGTCAGTGAGTACCCACCTGCAATCAACTCAGTGAGTACCCACCTGGAATCAACTCAGTGAGTACCCACCTGCAATCAACTCAGTGAGTACCCACCTGCAATCAACTCAGTGAGTACTCACCTGCAATCAAGTCAGTGAGTACCCACCTGCAATCAAGTCAGTGAGTACCCACCTGCAATCAACTCAGTGAGTACCCACCTGCAATCAAGTCAGTGAGTACCCACCTGCAATCAACTCAGTGAGTACCCACCTGCAATCAAGTCAGTGAGTACCCACCTGCAATCAACTCAGTGAGTACCCACCTGCAATCAAGTCAGTGAGTACTCACCTGCAATCAAGTCAGTGAGTACCCACCTGCAATCAACTCAGTGAGTACCCACCTGCAATCAAGTCAGTGAGTACCCACCTGCAATCAAGTCAGTGAGTACCCACCTGCAATCAACTCAGTGAGTACCCACCTGCAATCAACTCAGTGAGTACCCACCTGCAATCAAGTCAGTGAGTACCCACCTGCAATCAACTCAGTGAGTACCCACCTGCAATCAAGTCAGTGAGTACCCACCTGCAATCAACTCAGTGAGTACCCACCTGCAATCAAGTCAGTGAGTACCCACCTGCAATCAACTCAGTGAGTACCCACCTGCAATCAAGTCAGTGAGTACCCACCTGCAATCAACTCAGTGAGTACCCACCTGCAATCAAGTCAGTGAGTACCCACCTGCAATCAACTCAGTGAGTACCCACCTGCAATCAAGTCAGTGAGTACCCACCTGCAATCAAGTCAGTGAGTACCCACCTGCAATCAACACAGTGAGTACCCACCTGCAATCAAGTCAGTGAGTACCCACCTGCAATCAACTCAGTGAGTACCCACCTGCAATCAAGTCAGTGAGTACCCACCTGCAATCAAGTCAGTGAGTACCCACCTGCAATCAACTCAGTGAGTACCCACCTGCAATCAAGTCAGTGAGTACCCACCTGCAATCAACTCAGTGAGTACCCACCTGCAATCAAGTCAGTGAGTACCCACCTGCAATCAACTCAGTGAGTACCCACCTGCAATCAACTCAGTGAGTACCCACCTGCAATCAACTCAGTGAGTACCCACCTGCAATCAACTCAGTGAGCACCCACCTGCAATCAACTCAGTGAGTACCCACCTGCAATCAACACAGTGAGTACCCACCTGCAATCAACTCAGTGAGTACCCACCTGCAATCGAGTCAGTGAGTACCCACCTGCAATCAACTCAGTGAGTACCCACCTGCAATCAAGTCAGTGAGTACCCACCTGCAATCAACTCAGTGAGTACCCACCTGCAATCAACTCAGTGAGCACCCACCTGCAATCAACTCAGTGAGTACCCACCTGCAATCAACTCAGTGAGTACTCACCTGCAATCAAGTCAGTGAGTACCCACCTGCAATCAACTCAGTGAGTACCCACCTGCAATCAACTCAGTGAGTACCCACCTGCAATCAACTCAGTGAGTACCCACCTGCAATCAACTCAGTGAGTACCCACCTGCAATCAAGTCAGTGAGTACCCACCTGCAATCAACTCAGTGAGTACCCACCTGCAATCAACTCAGTGAGTACTCACCTGCAATCAAGTCAGTGAGTACCCACCTGCAATCAACTCAGTGAGTACCCACCTGCAATCAAGTCAGTGAGTACCCACCTGCAATCAAGTCAGTGAGTACCCACCTGCAATCAACTCAGTGAGTACCCACCTGCAATCAACTCAGTAAGTACCCACCTGCAATCAAGTCAGTGAGTACCCACCTGCAATCAACTCAGTGAGTACCCACCTGCAATCAAGTCAGTGAGTACCCACCTGCAATCAACTCAGTGAGTACCCACCTGCAATCAAGTCAGTGAGTACCCACCTGCAATCAACTCAGTGAGTACCCACCTGCAATCAACTCAGTGAGTACCCACCTGCAATCAACTCAGTGAGTACCCACCTGCAATAAACTCAGTGAGTACCCACCTGCAATCCGGGCCAAAAAGCTTGGAGGGAGTTGAAGAGAGGCCAGACGACGACTGCCACGTCCATGTTGACCTCCACGTACCTGGGAGGTGGAGGGGGAGAGAGGCGGATGGGAAATAGGGTGTGAGCCATGAGAGGTAAGAGAGGAATGGTTGCTCACTATGAGAGGCCAGACAACGACTGCCATGTCCATGTTGACCTTCACGTACCTGGGAGGGGGTGGGGATGGGGCATGGGAAGGGAAGAGAGGAGGCGTGAAGGGGAAACTGGGTGTGCGGCATTAGGTTATGGCTGTGACAAGGCTGAAGAGAGGCCAGACGACGACTGCCACATGCATTTTGACCTCCACGTACCTGGGGGGGCGAGGGGGTGGGGGACCGGGGAGAGGAAGGGAGGTGCATGAATGGTGTGCTGTAATAAGTGTATGGCTTTCGGTGAGTTGAAGAGAGGCCAGACGACGACTGCCACATCGGTGTTGACCTCCACGCGCCTGGGAGGGGGAAGGGACGCGAAAGGGGAAGAGAGTTGCATATATGGTGTGGTGTATTGGCGTATGGCTTTCAACAGGGTGAGAGGCAGCATCATTGGGTTGGAGGTGTGACGTGTGGAGCGAGGAAGGTTCTTTCAACTACAGTGGTTATTCCTCGTAGCAGCAACTTCAAACTCGCCACAGGCGTTCTCGTGACCAAGATATGAGCTGTGCTTGCATCACTTAGGAGAAATCTTAAAACTGAAACAAAGAGACTCATCCCTGATGCGAGATCGACAGCACTGATCACCTTCGTTCTTATTGCAGAAGAATTTTGCAGAAGAAGAAGATTCAGTAGCAATGCCATCTTGTTATAGTCACTGATGTGACTCTTGGGAGGTTATGAAAGTGTGAGGATGTGAAAAGCCACCTCGTTACACTGGCACTTGGGAGGTTGTGAAAGTGTGAAGATGTGAAAAGTGCTTGTGTAAGGGTTGTAACATCTTGTGCTACAGGAGTCACACCCAATAACACCCACCCACCTACTCAGAAGAATCATTTACAACAATACCCATGTGCCGCCAGTACCACTCACAAGGGGATGAATTTTGAGCCGATACAACATTCACCTCCTATTACAAGAGAAATCGCACCCACTCACATACACTACCACCCACCTGCTCGGAAGAACCATTTACCAGAATACCCATGTGCTGCCACTACCACTCACCATGGGTCATGAATATGTATGACCGCATCGTAAGCTGCTTGAAAGATGTAAAGATACTCAAAGGCCCTCCTGTGGCCTCGAGACCCCTCAAACGTGGACTCTGGCCCCAAGGCTAGACCCCTCCCTTGGCCCCGAGACCCCTCCGTTGGCCCCGAGACCTCTCCCACTCAACATGGGTCATGGAATATGTGTGTCATGACGGCATCATAGGCTGCTTGAAAGATGTGCAGATACTCATAGTCACCAAATAGAATGTGCGCCTGGGGAGAGATGGAGGAATGGACAGCAGAAGAAGAATACAGGAAAATTGTGAGACGCCTCATAAGACGGATCTTGAGGCACCTCAAAAACTGTCATAGGCTGCTTGAAAGATGTGCAGATACTCACAGTCCCCGAATAGAATGTGCGCCTGGGAAGAGGTGAAGGAACGGGTGGAAGCATAAGAAAGAAAACAATGTGCAGTTGGGAAGACAGCACGGTCCGATGCAGCTCGAATGAAGCCATATCTCTAGAAACCAACAACTGATTGACCCATGTAACATGGCCACAAACACACAGCCCCACTTGGATACAGCCTGGTTACGTACATCTGTTGTTCCGCGCTCCACTCCACACAAAGAGGCTCAGGGTTTCTTGATATGTGACTCATTTTACCTCCATACATGCTTCATCATACTTCAGTATATGGCCTCACCATTGTTCCTCGATATGTGCTTCACCAAACCCTGATATTTGCCTCGGTGTCACCATACCTTAATTAGATACTCGTAAAATGAATCAATGCTGGTGCCGACCCCCGCATCCTGCCAAAACAGAGATCGAATGATGTGTATGCATGTCATTAAGAGATGTTATGAATGACATATACATGCCTGTGTAGGTGTATGAAAAAAGATCAATCATATCAACAACATGCACAACATAACGATGACGTTTTAGAATGCATTGGCCCAATTATACATGATTTAAGATGCGCACTTACGTATTCCTTCATCCTGCTCCGAAGCGTGAACTCTTCTAATTGCAGTACCAACTGCTTAACTGCAACGTCAAGATGTTCAATCGCATCCTCTTCTTTATTCACTTCACACACCATGACAGACAGTGTATATGACATGAGTTGAAGGCTTTTACGAGTGCATTTTTATCCACGTGAACATGTGCTTTTCTATCCAAAGTGGATAATCCGTTAGGTTCTTTGCACCCACCTTGTGCGTCCATTCCCCTGTGAAGATGTCAATGTGTGCCCCTAGCAGCCCAAGGGAGCGCCTCAGTTAGCGATCAATACTCTCAGTTGCTAAGTGCAGCAATAACAGAGCAGCACAGCACAGACCCACCTTGTGCGTCCATTCCCCTGTGAAGATGTCTATATGAGCCCCTAGCAGCCCAAGGGAGGAGCGTCGAGCCCACAAAGCCCTCACAGCATTACGAGCCACGTCCTCAAACACTGCATATCAGACCAAGAGGCGGGCGAGGGCAGACCAGAAGATTTTCGAGGAGTATTCTGAGTCAATTCAAAACACATATAACGCCGCGAGGCCACAGAGCCTACACAGCATCACGTACGAGCCACATCCTCAAACACTGGACCCGGACCGAGTGGATGGAAGGAAACCAGGCAGATGGGGAGAAAACGAGAGACAATGAAGACTACAGGAAACAGCGCACGGGCACGTTCTCAAACAACAACTCAGAATTGAACGAGGAAAGACAGGAAGCGGATACAAAGCCACATAAAGCCATATCCACACACACGTACACACACCCGTATTTTGAGGCGCCTCAAAAGTCGCCTAAAAAATCTTGAGGCGCCTCCAAAGCCACATAAAGCCATATCCACACACACGTACACACACCCGTATTTAGACAGGAAGTTTCATGTCTACTTGCCTTGCCTGGACGGCCTGTGAGGCTACTTAGCACTCTGAACTCTAGTGCAAGTGTGCTGCCACCTGGCTGACTGTGACAGGAACGTGGACATTCACCAGTACACCTGTACATGCAGCACATGCATGCATGTGCGAGCTTGATGATATGTGAAAGGCCAGTTTCCACTTGCCTAAATCGCCTGTGAGACAGCTGATCACGCCAAACTCAAGTGCTAGTGTGCCAACCGCACCTGAGTGTGACCAGCACAGGCAAACATGCTGCGTGTGCACGAGCAAGCTCATTCATACTGAGCGACCATTCTCAGTCGCAAGCTGACTGAGCACTTCAAACTGGAGTGCAAAAGTGATGTGCACGTGTGAGATCCTTCATTCTTGCGAGGCCAATCCCCTACTTGACTGGATCGCCTGTGAGCCGGTGGAGCACGCCGAACTCGAGTGCAAGTGTGCCGCTTTGTGACAGGCAAGAAAACATACACCTCGTGCGCCCGTGCATGCAGCACTTGCGCGAGGAAGCTCATTCACATGTGAATGGCCACTTTCTACTTGCCTGGATCGCCTGTGAGGCGGCTGAGCACGCCAAACTCGAGTGCAAGTGTGCCGCCACCTGCTGTTGCTGTCACCTTCGTGGCATGGCATGGGAATTCACAGCAGGAGGTGGGATGGCATGTCCTTAAGATATGTGGCATGAGACAGAACGACATGGCGTTATACGGCAAGATCACTCATCATTGCGCTCTCCCCTCTTGGTACACCACTCATGTCACAACTTGCCCTTGGCAGGTTGGTTGACACACATGTTTTGAGACTTCAGAAAAATCTCTCACAAGGATGTTTTGAGAATTCTCACAAGTGACCCACATGTTTGGTGTCATGGACCGTACGCAATGTGCCAGGTAATTTTGAAACTTCCCAAAAGTATTGGAGCGTTGACCTTGCCTGCTCTGATCATGGTATCAGAGCTCTCACCTTGCTTTCCCCTCGCAGCACCCCATGGCGCAGGTTGACAGAGCCGAAAGGGATGCCTGGAAAGCAAAGGCGACGAGATGAACACAAGACATGAACAGACACACGACACAGAAATGGGAATTGAATGTGAGGCCAGTGACTGGGGAACACAGAAATGGAGTCGATGATGGAATTGCATCCAAAGAAGATTTGCAGCCTAGAGTAACCAATGCTTGAAAGTTTTTAGAGAAGTGTAAGCGTGCTTCAAGTGTAAGCCACTGGTTACATTACAGGGATTCAAACGAGGTCTACGGCCTCTGAAGGAACGCACCTGTTGGTGTGTCGAATGCAGGCAGCAGTCGCCTGCCAAGGTCCTCTGCTAGCCTCAGCAGCTCGTTGTCGTATCCGGGCACTTGCATGCCCTGTGAGAGTGAGGGCGGGAAAGGTGGGGGATGGGCCGGAAGAGAAGGTAGGGATGGGGAATGTTGGCAGCAGGCGCATGCCAAGGTCCTCTGCTAGTCCCAGCAGCTCGTTGTCGTATCCAGGCACCTGCATGCCCTGTGGGAGTGAGTGGAGGGCAAAAGGACATGGGCAAAAAGAAAAGGGGGGGAGGAGGAACAAGGAGAAAAGGTACGGATGTATTTTTACAGGAGTTTATTTCATGCAGGCAGCAGGTGCCTGCCAAGGTCCTCTGCTAGCCTCAGCAGCTCATTGTCGTATCCAGGCACCTGCATGCCCTGTGAGGGAGAGGGGAAGGAGACGGGAGATGGGCAACTAGAGGATGTAGAAGTGTGGTCAATGTCACTACTTGACACGGATAGTGAGACGATAAGGGCAAAAATGAAACGGTTACCAGTGCACATGCGGTTACCAGCGCATATGTGCTTAGCTTATCTACAACTAAATTGTGGTTGTTACCAACTACCAATGCATACATGGTTGCCAGTGCACGTGTGGTTATCAGTGCATATGTTCTTATTTACAGCTAAGTTGTGTGGTTGTTACCAAGTACCAATGCATACATGGTTACCAGTGCACGTGTGGTTACCAGTGCAGGGTCGGATGCAATGAGGTGTGCTGACAGCAGCCCACCCATGACTCGAATGTTCGTCTCAAACAGAGACACGGTCTTGTTCTGAGGCAGGTAACAGGGGGAGGAAAGGGAGGAACGGAAGGGAGGGAGGAAGCATGCATGTGTAAATTGTAACCCTACTGAGGCATCTCAATGCATGGCGACATCACCGACAGCAGCCTGCCCATGACTCGAATGTTTGTCTCAAACAGAAACACGGTATTGTACTGCAGCAGGTAAGAGGGGCGGAAAGGGGAGAATGGAAGGGAGGAGCGGAAGGGCAGGAGCAAGCGTGCATGTATACGCTCACTGAATCGTGATGCATGCGACAGGGCTGATAGCAGCCCTCCCATGACTCGGATGCTGGTCCCAAATAATGACACGGTCTTGTTCTGTGGCGGTACAGAACGCGGAGGGAAAAGAATACAAAAGACAGCAAGGTATTAACTGCTCACCTTGTCGAAGTTGAGGTGTGCAGAGAGCCATCTGACCGCCGAGGCGAACTCAGTCTTGTTGCCAAGCAACGCCAGGCTATCAAGCGAGTCAATCTGTTGCAACGATTCGCACAAGTCACACAGCGAAATGTATAGAAAATACGCACACATATCGCCATTGATCCGTTCATAGCAGCAAGAGTAGGAGTGGCGCAAGAGCAGCATGAGCAGCAAGCAAAAACAAGTAGTGCATGACAGCATAATTATCAATGGAATTTGGACCGGCACCAGAGGGACTCTGACTGGCACAAGAGGGACTCTGACCGATGTCAGGGTCTCAGTAGCCACCCAGTGAGTTCCCTTCTTTTAAATTGCTTTGAAGATGTTACTTTCCAGTAGAATCACAAGGAGGGATACCTGAGAGCGTGAGGGTGTAGTGAAGCCACCCAGTGAGTTCCCTTCTTTTAAATTGCTTTGAAGATGTTACTTTCCAGTAGAATCACAAGGAGGGATACCTGAGAGCGTGAGGGTGTAGTGAAGCCACCCAGTGAGTTCCCTTCTTTTAAATTGCTTTGAAAATGTTACTTTCCAGTAGAATCACAAGGAGGGATACCTGAGAGCGTGAGGGTGTAGTGAAGCCACCCAGTGAGTTCCCTCCTTTTAAATTGCTTTGAAAATGTTACTTTCCAGTAGACTCACAGGGAGGGATACCTGAGAGCGTAAGGGTGTAGCTACCCAGTGAATTCTCTACTTTTCAACGAATTTTCAAAAGGATCTTATCGAGTCGACTCACAAGGACGGATACCTGAGATAGTGACTGACCAGCGTGAGGGTATAACCACCCAGTGAATCCTCTCCTTTGCATGACCGAGGGCGAAGCTCATCCAGAGGGAACGCATGACGCATGTACCCGTTATAGCCATGATAGAACATGGCCCGGACCTGCCACATGACCCAAAAATCGATTTTAAAGAAGGTGTTTAGCAGCAACATGTAAATCTCGGCCGAGAATGCCCGAATTCAGACAGCGTCGCTTCGATGAGTGGCTAATAATGGCCAGAATACTTCCAGTTGTCAGTCAAAAGTGCAGAATCTAGCACCTATGGTCTCCAATTATTGCACAGATACGTAATTGTCAAAGGATGCGACGAATTGCGCAACGGAAATTAGACTGCCGAAGAGGAGGCTCGTCTCACCTCCTCGCGAAGCTCTCTGGCCTCATCTGGCGACACGAAGTGGACGCTGCTGCTGCTGCTGTCGGCGTACACAGCGCTTCTGCGAGCCGCGCCGGCAGCGTGACACGCCGCGACAGCGAAGACGAGCAGCGCTAAGGCGTGCTCGACGCGCATGGCTGACGATGATGATGAGAATCAGTGACTCGACCTCGATGTTTCTGGGTCCGTAGCCTGAATTTCTGTGTGTGACTGAGCATCGAGGAGCTCGGGACATGTATGGGTGCAGTGATGTTTCTATCTTAAGAGATTTCCTTATCTTGGTTTAATTCTCACAATGCATCTCAATATCAACAAGGAAGCGTGTGCCTTACCACATGGGAATTGTATTAAAAATGCTGAAATAACATCCCAACGCTTTCCCATGATTGCATATCATACTGTAAGAAACTTGTTATACGGAGTTATAGTTTGGTATCCTATATGTAGAGATCAAGTAACATAAAATTTTCAAGAACACACCATTTTTTAGAATCTAGATGCTTATGATTCATATTACATGTAGCATACTTTTAAACATATTCCGAGATAGGCTTTCAAAAATGAGACTTCACCTTATGCTTTATCGAGCATCTTAACCACGGAACAATTTCGTGCCCATCACCACCGAACACCAAAACCATCTCTTGTGCTGCCTGTCCGGACTGAACCATACTTTCACAGCGCAACGGCCTGCTTGCCAGCATCCCGAGCTCATTTTCCCTTCCTCAGGAGTATCCATGTTACGAGAGAGCATAATCGCTGTCGATGGGGATCTTCGCCTTGTCGAGATTGTATGTTTTTCTATTAAAATGAAAATACACTGGGGCTTACAGAAACAAAGTTTTACTGCCTATGCATTTTGCATCGGCAGGAAATCAAGAAGGGCCAGTCTGAGCTGGAGGTTTTGCGTTCAGCCTTAGCGTCCGCTGAGTACAGGAGAGAAGCAGCGGAACAGCGTGAGCTGATGTTGCAGAATGGTAAGCGCGACTGGGTTGTTTCTCTGATTGGCTGCTTCTTTTTCTGACATCTTTTTACTCGGCAGAAGTGGAAAGGTTGCGTTCTCTTCGACAAGCTGAACTTGAGATTATTCAGCAACAGGTAAGTTGTTGCCTTACAGGGTCCATAGCCTTCCCGCTGCGACTTCAATCACAATGTCTTTCATACGTCCAGTTCCACTTTCGCAAACTGTATGAAGAAGCTGAGGATCGGCTAAAAAACCAGCAGAAGGAATACGACCTGAAGATGGAGGTACGCATTGCTCTTTGTGACATATTTCTTGTTGTTTAACACGTCTTATCTCTGGAATCTATGTTCAGGAGTTGAAAGGCGTGCTTAGCACTGTCGATGACAGGGCAGCGCAAGCCAAAACCGTGGCTGAAAATCGAGTACTGTAAGGAAAAGTTTGCTGCACGTTTCCACTTTTAACATAGGTGTTCACACGGCAGTTTTTTCAGGAGCCTGGAAAAGGAGCTTTCCGAGGCATGGGCGATGGTGGTAACACTTGAGGACAGGTTGGAGCAGCAGAACAGTGAAGGCGAGCATGAAAAGAGACAAATGAAGGAGTTAGCATTCTCACAAAGGGTGAAGTGTAAGTTCACTTTGGGTGGCATTGTTGACTGTTCAGACGCAGCCTGCTGATCACGATTTGTTGCAGATGAGAGTGAGCTGGCGACTCTGAGAAACCAGCTTCACGACGAAGAGGCCCGACGGAAGTCTTTGGAGAAGTCTCTTTCAATGGCTGAATACAAATGTAAGTCACCTTGGCCGTTTTCTTCCCTCTGGTGGCATGTGGGATACATGAGTGATGGAGTAACTGTGTGCAGGCTCTCTTGCTGAGAATCAGCTGCAAGAACAGATGAAAGAATTTAGGCAGAAGATGGAGGAACAAATTCGTGAAGCAGTGCCAAACAGGCATGCTGATGCCATTAAGCAGAGAATGATGAAGATGCGGAAGGAGAATGATGAGCTTCGTCGGCAGCTCCAAGCTTACCTGGGCAGATGATACAATGACAAAGCTGGGTGCTGTGGATTGAGAATTCACACCAACCTTAGGTTCTTAACTTTATGACACAATGGTATTTTTGCACAACCTTGATCAAACAACTCTGGCTGGAAAGGAAGGCACCAGTGCAGGCCATTCTTAGTGCTCACCTTCTTACCATGGCCTTCCCAAACGATTAAGAAAATTGTAGCACAAATTTGGAAGTGTATCAACACCGCATCGAGTTCGCACTTCCGATTAGCTGCCATGCCAGCGGGGTCTGTTGCCTGCATTGCAGGGAGGTACGACACGATTCCGTAGCTTTCTAGACGGTTAGAGAAATCTACTCTTCAGAAATGTAGCATCCAGTCATGGAAATTCGTGTTCGTGTACCTCACACCATCTGGGAGCTTTCTATTTCATCATGGCCGCCATGGCTGTCGTAATGCCTTCAGCGGAGACAGCTAAATGGCAGGTGCTCCCTTCACTGGACGGCCATCACATTTGCCTCCGCAAGGCGTGCTCTCGCCGCTCGACTTCATCCAACATTCTCACCCGTTTTACACCAAAACATGCCCGTTTCCAGCCAATCCGCAGTGGTTTCGCAAAGGTCGCGGAGGTTGCTCAGGCGCCACGTCAGGCGCCGAGTCTGCCCCAGAATGTACCTTCGCACGTTAATGGTTCCATCCCGCTTTACTCCAATATTCTCTCGCCACAGAATGCACTCCTTGCCACCCCATCGTCAGCATCCGTCGATTCTCGCGAAATCAGAAGCTCGCCACTGGGCGAACCCGTCGCCAACCTCGTGCGACAAATCACGAATGTCGCCGCTACCTTCCTTTTCACAGCGGCTTCAGTCGTCACGCTCCTCTCCTTTCCCTCGGACGCTTCCGCAGCAGCAGAAGCACCAACTAATCTTGCAGCAGTATCATCATCCGCTTCTGTCGTGTCGCTTTCCCCAGGCGCTACGACTTGGGACAGCCAGCAAACCCTAGCCCTGTCATACTCTGGACCACTCGCTCAAATCGCGAATATGGCAGCTGCAGTTGGAACTGCACCAGATACTGGCTTTCCTGTTAGCCAATCAGCAGCTGACAGCATGGCAGCAGCGAGCCCCGTGATTGACGGAGCGCAGCTGCTGGGCGGTGGAAAGCGGGAGGTTATGATTCGTCAGCTGGAGAATTTGGAGAGCGATTATGGATGGCGTATGCGTGTGCTGACTCGGTATGCGCCTGAGCAGTTTGAGACAGAGGCTCTACGCGCAGTGTGGCAGGTAAGGGAGGGGGGGGTGAGGAAGCGTGGAGATGCAATACTAAAATGTCGCAAACCTGGAGAACATCCTCGGGTCGGCCTTTTTCCCTCCTAACTTACGTTGTGCACTTCTCGACTGTGCATCACACTCGCATCTCAGCCCGGCGTCTGGACGGTATTTGTAGTTCTGGACGTCACATCGCGAAACATCCCATCCGCCTTTCATGCGTAATCTTTCTTTCTCTCCTTATGCATCCTTTCCTGTACTTCACAATCGCATCTCAGCGCGACAACCGAACAGTAGTGGTGGTCGAGAACGCCACATCACCCAACATCCCATCCACCTCTCTCATGCGAATCGTTTTTTCCCTCCATGTGCATGTCTCGTGTGTGCGTCACACTCGCATCTCAGCTGGACGACCGCACAGTAGTGGTGGTGGCGGACGTCACGTCGCCCAACATCCTCAACTCACCCTTTATTCCCTCCTATCTTGCCATGTGCACTTCTTGTCTGTCTGTCTGTCTGTCCGTCACACTCGCATCTCAGCCGGACGACCGCACAGTAGTGGTGGTGGCGGACGTCACATCGCCCAACATCCTCAACTTCTTTGCTGGGGACACTGTCAGGGAGAAGCTTCCACGACAGTTCTTCATCGAGCTACAATCCCGGTACACCTCTCTAGTCGCCCACCCATGTCATAGGTCTCTCTACTTCCTCCCACCGGCGCATCATCCCATTCCCCCACCCTCTGCCATTCCTTTCCTCCGTCTCCTCCGTCCATTCCTGTTCCCATCCTTGGCCGTGCCTTGTCTCGAAGATGAAACAAAGAAAAACATCGCACATGCAGAGTCCTTCTCCCCTCTCCCTGCTCCCCTCTTCCTGCTCCCCTCTCCCCTCTCCCTTCTCCACTCTTCCCTCACTACCCCCAGAATTAGCAACCAGTTCTATGTGGCAGAGCAGGGAGACACAAGAGCTGTCCAAGAAGCCATTGCTATTATGCATGCCCGCCTCTTTATTTTCCTGTGCCTCATATTTCCCCTCTTTTTCCTCCCCATCCACCCCTGCCGCGAGCTTTGGCACCAGTTCTATGTGGCAGAGCAGGGAGACACCAGAGCCGTCCAAGAAGCCGTTGCCACTCTGCAAACCTGCCTCTTTATTCTCCTGTGCCTCATCCTTCCCCTTTTCCCCCTCCCTCTCCTGCCCCGCACTCCCAGCTTCGGCAACCAGTTCTACGTGGCAGAGCAGGGAGACACACGGGCTGTCCAAGAAGCCGTCGCCACGCTGCAGACCTGCCTCTTAAAGCCCACTGGTTGCAACAACGTGCCCGGCCTTGTAGATGACCTTTACTTCGTCACTCTCTCTACCGCAATCCTCAGTGGGATTGTTTTTGGCTTCGCCGCCCGCCTGGAACCTTCCGGGAAGGTGGAGGCTTCTTGGCAGTGGGTGCTGCTTTTCTCCCCGCTGTGGCTGTTGCTGCTGGTGGCTTTTTCGTATCTTCCCATTACTGCCCGGACAGATAATGTGGAGCCGCTGTTGAAGAATGGGGCGGGTTTTCTTGCTGGGGCAGCTGCAATTTATTTGACGCCGATTTTCGGGCAGTCTCCTGTGGCGAATTGGGGCAAGGGGAAGGAGGATGGGACTCGGAGTGGCACTCAGAGTGGTAGGGATAGCGACTATGACGACTTCTAGTTGGTTCTTTTCAGTATTTATTTTTGTAAGAAGGCATCAACCATATCATAATTCACTATGTCTTCTCAACTCCTTTGTATTGGGTCGTGTTTATGTGTATGGTGGCTTTGGGGATTGGGTGCGGAGGAGTTGACCCTTGTGTGGAGCGTTATTAATGTGTGTAGTTGTGATTACCGTATTCCCCCGGATAAAAGAACCCCCCATAATGTTCCCGGGTCTTTAATACGGGGGGGAGGGGGGTGGGGGGGTATATTATTCAAGACTGTTTTCCTTATACCCCCCAATTGGGGTGAAATCATTATAAGACCCCCCCCCCCCCCCCAACCTCGAAAGTGTTTTTTAGAGGTTAATTCATGTCAATTAAGCAAGCAGTGGCACATGGTTGGTAGGCCACATGAGTCACAAAATTCAATCAAGGCAGCCTCTCAACACCCAGCTAGCTCCACTCTTCACCCACCACCTTGGAATCCGCCCCCGCCTTGCTACCAGGGCCTATTTTATCAGTGTAAATCACACTGCTATACTGATGAGAAGGGTGAAATTTAGGGCCTACACTGATGTGTTTGGGGAATTTTTTTGAAACTTAGTGTTACACTGATTTGATAGTGAAACGATTTAGGCCACGCTGATGCTCTGGGGTAAATTTTCCCTTAGCGAAGATTACCCTTAAGGGCGTACAGGGCACCCCCCCCCCCCCCCCCCCCCCCCCCCTCCTTCATCCCCGAAATTTGTCGGAGCGTGATTTCCGTCAATCACGCAAGTACCGAAGCGGCCTTCCCTGCAGTATATGCGTTGGCAGCAGTCATGTGTGTAATTGGTCATTTTTTATGTTTCGATATCCTGCACGCCAAGGAAAGGAATGTTGGCATCACGTACATTGATGCTGCCTGAACTTAGTCAAATCCCAGACCACATTCATACTGTCGGTGGCACATTCCACCAGCCAACTCCAAAAACCACTGTTTTTTTTGCCACTCTGTCTAGCATCCACACGTTCTCCACCCCGTAGCCATGGCAGCGCCTAGCGACGATGACGCTGACGATGCCGATGGCGACCCCTATTGTAGCCACGGTCCAAGAACGGGCCTTGATTTCTTACGAGGCCCAGTCTCAGAACCTGCACCCCGTCTTTTGCCCGAGCCTTCTGATGAAAGTGAGGGATGGAGGTACCCTATGCGCAAAACGGCCCAAAAATCACCACCACACCAGCCTCAAGCTGAGTGTGATGACGCTGGATGGCAGCGTCCGGAACGCGATGAGGCGGACCACATCGTGCACGACTTTGTCGACTCGACGGAAATCTTCTCTGAAGTCCCGAAGTCTTCTAACTCCGTGTCGCTGAAAAAACGCCGCTACACGCAGTCTACTCTTGGTTAAGGCGGCGGCTCGCCTCTCGTGAAACCTGCTCCTCCACCACCTCCCGTTGTGACGCCATCACCGTCACCGCTGAAGCAGACTCCGGCCGAACGCGCGGAAGCAAAGTTCCTTGAAGCATAGAGGAATTACATCACCAAATGGCTGTCGCAATTTGATTGGTTATTGCTTGACAAGGGTGATGATGGTCTGCCTTGTTTGCGGTGCAGTGTGTGCAGCGAGCACGGTCTCGACAATGCACGCTAAGGGCGGAATGGCAGCGACGGACGGGACCTGCAGCCAGCGTCGATGCGGGCACACCAAGCGAGCTCCCGCCATCACGACTGCATTGATCGGCAGAAGGGTCTTCTGGACAAGCTGGCGGTGCAGAAGAAAATCGACGACTACGAGAGGGCTAACCCCGAGGGTGCGCGCGTGGCGAGACTTATGCGCAGCATCCAGTTTGTGTGCGACGAGGACGCTCCGATCGCAATGTTCCCGAGGCTCGTCGAGTTCCTCGCGAAGGAAGGCGTTTCCGACATTCCTCAGCAGACCTACGGTGTCTATATCACGAAGTGAGTGTTAATACTTTGTTGCCGTCTTGGTGTATAGCTTCCGGTAGGATTCACACCTTCCCTTTTGCGCACCGTGCAGATACGGCTTCACGGGGATGGTGAAGGCTATGTGCACGTATCGGCAACAGCAGCAGCTTATGTACATCCATGCATCACCGTGGATCGGCATCAGTTGCGACGAGAGCACAGACCGGTTGCGCGGCAAACACCTTGTGGTGTTTGCAACCTTCATGAAGGAGCGAGCAGTGGTGACGGAATTTCTCGCTCTACTCACCATCCACAAATGCGACGCGGGATCCCTCTTCGCGGTGTTGCTGAGCCACCTCGACAACATCGGGATTGATATGCAGCGGATTGTCGCAGTTAGCACCGACGGCGCGGGGGTGATGATTGGCAGCCAATCCGGTCTTGTTGTTCGTCTCCGTCAGCGCGTCCCACATCTGGTCAGGACTCATTGCATAGCGCACAGGTAGATTTGTTGTTTCCGTACAATCGCCTCGTCTAAGGGAGTAACTTCCACGGCCTTACGCATTTTTAATGTTGTATGCAGAGAAGTGCTCGCGGTCAAAGAAGCCGCATTGAAGTTTACGGACCTCGACATCGTCGATGACGCCATCCGTGGGCTTGGCGAAATTGTCATGCGATCTTCTGTGTGGCTTGAGCGCTTCAAGGAGCTCCAGCTCGAAATACATCAAACGAATCTGGAGCACCAGGGGCTCTTCGACGTGCGTTGGCTATCGCGCGGGGATGCAGTGGCCCGTTTGTGCAGAATTCTTGGGGCGGCGATCGTGGTGTTCATCGAGTACAAACACAGCATGGCGGTAACTGTTCAGACCCTGAAGTTTCACTTCTGCCTCTACTTCTTGGCGGATCTGCTGGCAGAGATCAACGCACTCAACAAGTTTTTCCAGCGCAGGAAAGTAAGTGTTGATTCACGGTGCATGTATTTCTTTTAGTCGCGTCATTTAATTCTACACTAACATTTACACGTGTTGTTCATCTGCCCGTCTGTGGTTCAGGTTGACATCGTGCTCGTGCACCAAGAGGTGGATCGCACGATTGGAGTCATCAGACTTCGATACGTGGAATACGTGGACATTTTCGGATGGGGGGTCAGCAAGCTGCTGTCGCCATTCATCGCACGCTGGCAGCGGTAGGCGAACGATCCGCGTGGACGGCATGGATGCGGATGGTGAGCCATCTTCACATCAGATCGTGCTGAGCGAGACGCCAATACGGCGGCTCGATGGCCGACTGCATCAAGTTGTGCAAAGCTTTCGCACTGGATGTAGCGACAAACATGCACACTCGCATGTGGAGCTTGAAGCAAATGGAGGGCAGCAAGCTTTACAAAGTTGAAACGTGGCCGGAAGCGACAGACAAGCGGGAGCGTCAGGCGCTGAGTTGGCTGGATGCCAACGCGCGACTCTTCAACAACCGGCTGCCAGGTAATTATCCATACGTGGATGCTGTCTTGTATGAGCGTGTTTTGTTTTGTTTTGTTTCGGCCTTTCTACTCACAAAATGTTGTCCCTCCATCACACGTGGCAGGCTTCAACCACCGAGCGGCAGAGCTCGAGCTGGCCAGCTTCTGCCACGTCATGTCTTGCCACTACCAGGACGATGACTTCTACTAGGGACTTAACAAAATGATGAGGACCAAGGATTGGCCGCGCAGTTTTCCCAACCTGACGTCCATGTGGCAGGCGCTGGCAGTAATTCCGCTAAGTACCGTGGAGTGTGAGCGCGGATTCAGCCGCCAAAACATGATCAAAAGCTGGTTGCGGACGTCGCTTGGCGATGCCCGGCTATCCGAACTGATGACCCTGAACATGTTGAGCTATGAGTACAAGTGGCCCGGGGTGGTGGATATCTGGCGGAAGCAAAAAAAGAGAAGACCCGCAAAAACACCTGCCCCACACAAGTCGTGCTCTGGAAAAGAAAAGGAAAGAGAGGAGTCGTCTGATGGTAGCGCTGATGAGCGTACATACATGTGACTGAATGGCTATATAAATAAAATGTTGTTTCCTGATTTCTAAAACGATTAGTAATATGTTTTTGCGATAAGGGTACACAAATATACTACACTGATGCTATTGTCAGAACATTATATAGCTTATGCTGTTGTGTAGGCTATAGTGGGGTATCCCATAAGGGGTACAACCCAATTAGGGTTTCCCATATGTACTCACTTCATTCATAGTTCAAACATTCTCGTTCTTCCTTTCACATGGTATCAGAGCAGGTCCCCTCCTAGGGACTGCTTCTAGGGCCCACCGAAGCGCGCCCCGAGGCGCGTTTTCCTTTTTTTTTTAGCGACCCTCCGTGTCGCCCCTCGCGGCCCCGCCGCCCTCCCTTCGCGGCCCCGCCACTCTGCTCACGCGGCCCTGCCGCCCTTCCTTCGCGGCCTCGCCGCCCTACTAACGCGGCCCCGCCGCCCTTCCTTCGCGGCCCCGCCGCCCTGCTCGCGCGGCCCAGCCGCCCTCTGCTTCGCGGCCCCGCCGCCCTGCTCACGCGGCCCCGCCGCCCTCTGCTAAGCGGCCCCGCCGCCCTGCTACAGCGGCCCAGCCGCCTTCACGTCGCGGCCCGCCCGCCCTCTGCTTCGCGGCCCCGCCGCCCTGCTCACGCGGCCCCGCCGCCCTGCTCACGCGGCCCCGCCGCCCTCTGCTAAGCGGCCCCGCCGCCCCACTACAGCGGCCCCGCCGCCCTCACGTCGCGGCCCGCCCGCTGCCCTACCTGCGGCCCGCCAGCCGCCCTACCTGCGGCCCGCCCGCCGCCCTAACTGCGGCCCGCCCGCCGCCCTACTTGCGGCCCTACCGCCGCCCTGCCTGCGGCCCGCCCGCCACCCTACCTGCGGCCAGCCCGCTGCCCTACCTACGGCCCCCCCCCCCCGCCGCCCTACCTACGGCCCGCCCGCCGCCCTACCTGCGGCCCTACCGCCGCCCTACCTGCGGGAGCCGCCTAGCAGCAGAACCGCCGGGAGCCGAGCCGCCCTGCCGCCGAGCCGCCCGGGAGCCGAGCCGCCCTGCCGCCGAGCCGCCCGGGAGCCGAGCCGCCCTGCCGCCGAGCCGC